CATGTGCAGCTGGACTTTAATAAGAAAAAGAAATAATATTTTAACTTTGTATGCATTAACTTAATTTAGCTCAAATAACAACAGTGAAGGTTATTTTGTTTAAAACAGTTCATGATATTCCCTTGTTTAATTACCTAAATATCATGGAAACTAAATAATATCTCTTGAGATATATAGCAAAAAGTTCATAAATCATAATTTAAGACTTCTTTGATCTGTGTTAGAAATCTTTTGAATGATTGTTTTCTTTTCCTAGTTTCATATTTCAGACTAAATTATTGCACTTTTTCTTATTAATTATAAGAAAAATAAAAATTTAAAAATCAAAGTCCATTTATCAGTGTTAAAGGAGTCCAAGTTTTTGCTAAAAAAACTCATATTTTTATAGAAATAAAGACTATAGTTGGGATCATAGACTCCATGATCCTTTCATTAGCTGCATATAGCATACTTTTTTATTCTGTTATTCTTCTAGGCTGGAAAATAAAGAGACAAGCTTTTATGAAGATTTCTCTATTTGGTCATTAATCACTGATTCTCATATCTCTCATCTGACATTTCTCCAAATTTTTGTCAAGATACCAACTCACCAATAATCTTTTTTAACATTCATAAAAATAATCTTTGACAAGAGTTGTGCTGTGATCAATCCAACCTAAAACATAGAAATAGTCATTTTTTGCAAGTCATACAGAGTGAAGTTTAGAAAAAAGCTATTTTGCATCAGACCTACATTATGGTAATGAATTGTTTCTAGAATTTATTTGGAACATTTGTCAAAACAGTTGTCTCTTTCAATAAATTATACTTAAACATTTTAAAGAAGTAGGTACTTAACAGAGGCCTACTCTTTACAACTATCATTAATTATATATTGTTGAATCCTTGAAGCTAAACATGAGTCATCTTGAATCCACTTGTCATCTTGAGTTTGTTTTCCTCTAATACTGAGTACAATAACCAGAATACTTAATCAGTAACAGAAAAGAAATGATGGCAAATGAACTCGTCAAGCCAAACTACTCACAATACATTTTTTATATGGGATTGTTTGTTATTATACTGTTAGTAATAACTGTCCTCTAGCTATCCAACAGAATATTTGACTGAGGGAAGGATAAAAGGATTTTTGGAGAGAGGAAGAGAAGAGAGAACATCAAATCTCTTATCCTGAGTATTATGAATAGTGCAAACGAAAAAAAAAAAACATAAGACTCTTACTCTGGCATTAAATTTGAAAGAAATTTACATTTATTAAATGACATGAAAAATAATAAAAATTTACAAAACAAACTTGCACAAAATTTTTATTTACACACCAAACACTTAGGTAATTCTAATTCTAATTCTGATGCATTCATAAAAAACCTATTATTATCAACAAAATATTCACTTACTTTCATTCATTGAACTGTCAAAAAGAATTGAGAAAGAAGACTTCTCACAGGTGTCACTGGGTTTCTGGTTTGTTTTACTTTTAGATAATAATTCAGTTTTACAGAGATAAATCTTGAATTTTCATAATAAATTCAGTGTTAATAACTAAGTTTTGTGACAAACTTTCACAAATAACTATAGAGAGACAATAGAATATCTCTCTGAATTTGCAAAATCTTCTTTTTACTTCTTTCTTTTCTTTTTCTTCTTCTCTTTCTTTCTTTTTGCTGCTGTCATCATTTTTAGCTTTTCTTTGTTCAGATCCCAGAAACAGCTCATAGTCACTTGCTTGTGAAAGCCAAAACCTTCCTGCCAATTAGACCAACCAGACTTATAGCATTAAAATTGGCTTCAAATTGAATCAAAAACTGAATACTATGGGGACATAAATTACTTTCCCCATTGGTTAAAAAATCAGAAAATGTATCTGTTGCCTATTTGAAAACTTTATTTTGGTGGGTTTTGAGCCACTTTTTGTACAATTTTTGAAAATCAAATTTTAATCATGTATCTTTGTTAAAATTTCAAGCTTGTGGGAGCAGTCTACCCAGATTTTAGGTGGAAAAAAATAAAATCTGAGTTTCATGTTCACAAATTAAAATACAAAATTATAAACAACACAAAAAATGATTTTTGCAGACCAAGAAGACCAAGTTAAATATAACAATAACATTTATACAGTGTAATGAAAAGACACAGCAGAGAAAGCTTATTTAGGCTTTATTCAGCATATATAATTATTATGCATAAAAATACATAATTTTGTCAGATGGGCTGAAGTGGAAGTGGGGAAAGCTGGTCATCACTAATTATCGTAGTCCTAGTTAACCACAAGCATGAACCATTAATCCAATACAATTCCTCCATTTACCACAAGAACTCAACATTCACTATTCAATCCTACATATACCACAATACCACATATATACAGGGGATGTACAAAATACTCCATGATATAAAAATTTCATAATGGTTTTAAAACTTTTTTTTTACAAAAATATATAAAAAATTTACTAAAATATAAAATGAGGTTGAGAGGGGATGAACCCAGTAAACTAATAAAAGATTGAAACGAAACCAACTAAAATGAAATATTAAGAATGGCTGCTGTATTCTAATAATAGACAGAGTCAAAAAGCACACTCACTAATGGAGAGTGAAGGGTAAAAATAAATGACAGAATGGAAAAATCAAATTCTGACCCAGCTGAGATGAAAAAAAGGACCAAACTGAGAATCTCAACATGGATCATAACAAAAAGAGAATGCTGAGAACAGACAAAGAGCCACATTTATTCAAATTAACTAAGAAAACAAATAGTGTCTTACTTAACCAGTGGGTAGGGATCACAAGAAACTACCCTGTTGTGACCAAGATAACATAAAAAAGGAACTCAAGGATAGCACTTTTCACACAAACCAGGCTTGCTACATTCATCCACCTTTTGCTGAAATTTGTCGATATCAAGCGCTTTCTATCAGTTCTGACCTTCACCTTCAGCTGATGCTGAAAGAATCTGACAACAGCCTGATGAGAATAACATTTGTATTGCAAGATTCCCTCCATTCGTGTTGTTGAGATCACCATTCTTGCCACAGCTAGCAATGTCAGAAACACCATTTGTTTCTCCCCAGAATACGGGGGCAACACATTATTGCACATGTATGTGAGATCAATAAATAATATGAGGTGTCAACTTGCTGAAATAGTCCCAAGAAGGGCACACATGAGGACAATGGTAGAAGGCATGTGTAACCATTTCTTCTAAAGCAAGGTCACACAGATGACAGTTGGCCATATCCACCTAGCCCCATCTTAAGAACTGGTCATTGAGAGGTAGCACATTCCAAATGGCATAGGAAAGCCAAACTAGAGCCGTTTCGATGTGGCAATCTCAGCCTCTCCAAGAGGGTGGATAACAAGCTCTCGATCACCTTCCCCAGTCCTTGCAAAGGAAGTACAGCCATGTGGTAAAGGATGAGAGGAAAGATGTAAGTGGCACATGCCTCAGCCTTCAAGGACAACTTCTTCAGAGCCAAGTCCTGACCGACGCTTTGACATATGCCTGTACTTCTGACCATTTTTTTTTCCAGCTGGAGGTTGGGTGCAAACCACACTCCAAGAGTCTGGACAGGACTGTCCGATCAACCAAAGGGCCCTGAAAGATCGACCACCTCCCAAGCACCAAACTGCAAGCCAAAAGACTTGTTATGATTAATCTTGGCCCCCTTGACATTCCATATCATTCAAATGCCTTCTGTACCACCTCAATGTCTCTGCAGCATGACACAAAAGTAGATACATTATCGGCATACGTGGAAACCAGGCTCAAGTACCACCAGAGACAGCGATTTTATGTAGAACCAGACTGCTCACTGCATCTTTCAGCTGGTGAAGAAGAGGCACCAGCACCAAAGTGTAAAGTAGCAGCAACAACGGGCAACCCTGACAAATCAACCGAGACAGTGCAAAAGCATGCAACAGCTTTCCGTTCACCTGTATCACAGTATCAGATGGAATGATGTGTAGTGGACTCCTAACAGACAGTAGAAAAGATACTTCCCCCTAACTCAATTCACACAAAGGAGCTAACAATGATTTTCACAATTCTCTAGAATAACTTTAAAGATATAGTCATTTTGACAGGTAATATGAATTCAGAATAAAAAATGATAAACTTGGCCAAAACTTCTATGTGAAAGTCTCATTGTTATTGATATAATTCTAGTATTTCAAATCTATGATGTACTGTGTAGTGGACTCCTGAAGGGGGTGTGATATAGCATACTCTGTGCGCCCCAATAAGGGATAGATGTTACAAGATGCCTACTAATATTTTTATAAGTTAAGATGTGAAATCTGACAGATGGAACAAAAATGGACAACAAAATGACAAACTTAAAATTTAATACAAAATTTATTTAGAATATATACCAGAGTCCTTGTAGGTTAAATTAGCATGTAAGTCCACAGCTAGTAAGTTCAATTCACAAGCCCACCAAAAGTGCTGGTGTTGTGTAGTTGCTGGTTGAATCCAATGTCCAGTGCTGGCATTGTGTAGTTGCTGATCAAGTCCAATGGTGAACCTTCTGTAGTATTGTAACCGAAGTGTACAGAATAGGTTATTTGAAGTTTGGACGATATAGCCAAAGAAAAGAAAGTTCCATTAAAATGCTGGTGTCACGTAGTTGCTGGTGAAATCCAATGTTTGGTGCTGGCATTGTGTAGCTGCTGGCAAACCATCTATAGTATTACAACTGAAGTGTACAGAATAGGTTATTGGAGTCTGGATGATATGCATGCAGCAGTTTCCTAAACCAGGTGAGTTAGGTTGACAGGAAAGCTGGGACCTAGTGTAAGTGGAAGCTCAGGGCTGTTATAAGCAGGTCCATTAACACCCATCAGCCAAGTGAGTTAAGTTGAGATAGAGATGCCGGAAGTAGGGACCATAGTGTAGCTGAAAGTTCAGGGATGTCGTGAGCAAGTCCATTAACGTCAATCAACCAAGTGAATTAGGTTAAGATAGTGATTTTGGAACTAGGAGGCAATGAGTAGCTGGAAGTTCAGGGCTTTTGTGGGTAGATCTGCTTGGAATGCTGGAAGATAAGTGTCCGTGGTAGCCGGAAGTAGCAAAGCGTATGAATGCCGGAAGTAAGGGTCAGAGGTAGCTGGAAGTAGAAAAAGCCAAGAATGCCAGAATAAAGAATTGAAAAGCCCAACTAGCGTCCAATTAGCAGACAAAAATAAATAGGAATGTAACTCAATACATAACCAGTCCAAGCGCCCTGGCCACAATAGCCAGGGGCCTGCATTCTCCTGCTTGTCCCCTCTCCTCCTGGGTTCAGCGATAAGTCACCGTGTTATATGGAAATGGAGTGTAAACATTAACTGGTAATGCAAAGTACTAAAAATTTCAAGAAAAATAAAGTGAGATGTGCTACGAAATAAGAAGTATAAAATGTTCACAAAGTGTATTCCGACTAGGTTCATAACACAGAAAGAGCTAAAAACTCATTAGGGTTATCATGAAACTCAATGAACTTAAACTGAAGGGTGTGTGTGATGCAATGAAGATGTCAAGGTCATAACGTCTATCCTTGGTGACGTGGATGGAGTAGTGAAGGGCTAAATAACTGCAATATTTCAATATTTTTGTCTAAAATAACAGTTGCATTTCATTTTCACCACATCATTGAATATTATCAATAAAAACAATGTGGATAAATATGTATACCAAGCTATTTATTTGATTACTGACTAAATTTTCCTTAGTGTGATTTATGTACTTTAGTTAACATATAAAAGCAACCAAATACACAATTACTTGTATGTGATAAAAGCAAGTCTTAATTTGATGTGTTCTCATACACTTTTTTATTTGCATTTGCTATCACACTCAACTACAACATTAAAATAAAATAAAACTATAATGTTGGGATAAATAATCATGCTTATCTTATTATTTTTATCTTTTAAGAATTTTAACAGAATTTAATTTTTGTTCATTATGTTAATGGATGATAATATTATTCTCTTGCATTAATTATAGACATTCCAAAACCTAAGGTAAGAAAATCTTCAACTCTTGTCATATACAACAGTTTATCATGTTATAATGACAATGTGGTAATAAGTGTTTGGTATGTAGATGGTGAAGAACATATTAGGTTTATACAAAAGTTTTAACCATTTTTTTTAATAAAATCTGTTATTCACATAAATTCATAGTATCATTATTTTCCCTGTATTTCTATGAACTTTCCCACCAATAACCCAAAATTTTATTTCTTTTGTTACAAATAGCAGCTGTGTATCAGTTTCGCAAAATGGCATCTGACATAAAAATTATATATGAAGTAGAGGTATGACATTGAATTTTTCCATACATAAAAAATTGTACTTATTGGCATTCATTGACACATGCCGAACATTTATGGAGATGAAACAGTAGATGCACACATAGATAATAAGTAATGCATTTCTTCAGTGGTAATTTTCATATGTGTGACAAGCTACATTCCAGCTGACCCTGTACAGGTGTCAATCCACAAAATAAAGAACCTCTCAATAGTGGTGACTATATAGACACATAGTATTTTGTAGCTGAAAACTTACTCTATCCAATAGCATTATTGCCCTCCTTGAATTTGTTGTTTTCATGGAAATAAAGAGGTAAAATTACTTTCAGAGTGTCCTTCATACTACAATTGACTGATTCATGCTTCTAATTGTTTTCTTTTTACAAAGTCACATGTTATTTGTGCTATATCTTTCTTTTGAAAGTTCCTTTTCTTTATAAGTTTGAAATTCTAAGATCTTCCTGTGTTGTTTGCCCTTGAGCTGAAAATCTTTTTAAAAATTTTACAAATTATTCTCAACACGTGCTTGCACCTAATACCTGTGATCCATAAATTTCAGTGATACATTGCTTCAATACCAGTAAACTTTTTCTCAGATAAAACAGTGTAAAATATGGATTTTATATTCAACCATAATTGGCACTAAAATGAATTAAAATTATAGCTTTTCTTAAAACTCATGCAATAAAGAATTAATGGAACTAGTAGATAACTTAGCAAGATGTACAGGACTGTTTACAACTAAGTAAATCACCAACATCACCTACTTTTGCTTAATTGGATTAGTAGGATGAATGTGTCTGAAATGCTTGAAACTTGTCAATAGAGGCTATCCATGGATCAAAAAGCATAGTTCTTTATGGAAAAATTTGACCAGAATATTTTACAAATAAAACTCTTAGCTGTCAACAAGTGGACATCAATTTTTTTAAACAATGGATGTATTATGTCGATGGGTTATTCTCAATATAAGTAAATGAGGGGAGTGACTGAAGTTCTTGAATGGATACATGAAAGGCTAGTAATAGTTGCAATAGCATTGTATGCATCATTTGGGATCACATGATCAATCCCTGAATTAATAGAGAGATTTTTAATGAAATATCCATAATACCTGTCAAGTAAACATTAATGTATATAAAGCAGATATTTCTCTAGGACTGCTAGAATCTGATTGCTTTAAAACTCAGTGAACTGTAATAATATTTTCAGAGAATTTGTGACCTCTTGTGCAAATACGAAGAAATAAATGTGTTATTGGATTTTAATAATATAATAATAAAATACAATAGTTTTTCTGTGTTGTGAAGGAAATCCCAAGAAATGTTTTTCTTTCTCTTTTTTTTCTTGTGTGTAATCCTCACATGGCCTGAAACCCAGTGGAGAACATTTCAACAGCAACTGAGAGACTTCATTTCTTTGAAAATCATAAGACAGTCCAGTTTGAATCTGCCAGCAGCAACCTGTACAAGGTTGAGCAAAATTTCACAACTTCCACCAATCACAAAGAAAACAGTTTTCAAGTAACCACAACCTATTGGGATGAAATGGTTACATGAGAAGAGAAAAAATTAACAAAAACAAGAAGTAAAGGACTATAGAGTTAACATATTCATAAGTAATCTCTGATGATTTTCATGTTTACATGAGAAAAGCATAGAATGTAAAACTGATATCCATACAATGCTGACATTCACCAATTTACACAATTGGAATAGGAAACTTTTATAGAAACACAATTGAAAGAAATAATTTTGCACACATTTCTACAAAATTGAATCTTCTTACTGTTTCTTACAGTGGAGGAAAATAGGCAATAGCCTAAAAAGTTTTACATTAGCCTTAAAAAGTGACTTAAAACATTTACAACTAATTTACACACAGCCAAGATCCAGTGGCAACCATCAATTTATTTAATGCTTTCCTATATGCATTAAATATAAAGTGACACTTAAAACATTTACAACTAATTTTCTTAATCACACCAGTATTGGTTAGCATTCATTGCTACACGTTGATAAGGGATTTAAATAATCCATCATAATATCTTATGAATATTTTAACTATTGCAACAGATATAAAAAAATGTTCTTGTGGAGTTATAAGATTTTTGCATATTTCATTACTTCAATTTTCAACTAAATCTGATAAAAACTATCTAAAAATTAATTTTGAATATATTAATTAAAATTTACTGAATTTTTATTAATCAATAATGTAATCAAGTTATCAATTTTATAAATATGCAAAGAACTGAAACCTGAAATAAGTATACCCAGTTTAGGTACCAAGCTATAAATACAAAATAGTTTGTTAAAAAAGATGAAGGTTCTAACAAGAATAATAGATTCTCCTAATTCCCCAAATTATTGCATATTCTCCCCCATGAAATGATTAAAGAATGATCTGCCTTATAGTTGCTGAACTTGCATATTTACCCATTGATGTTCAGTGTAAAATATCAGGATGTGGAAGATTAGCTCAACACATTATTATCTCCCCTTACAAAAGCATTTAAATAAAAGAAAATCCTTATTTCCATATAAGGAAATATTCGTCATTCATTGACCGAGTTGTTAGTACTGCTGTCAGTTGAAATTTATAAAACCTTTCTCTTAAAACGATTTTTCAGGACAATAATTTTCTCAAGTGCAGTAACTACTGTTGCTCTATTTTAGCATTGATGGGTTGGAAATTCCATTCTAACCTTTTATTTGAAGTAGTGTGAAATGTCAACATCTATGTCATTATTTACTTTTTGAGTTAGTCAATTTATCTAAATGAATAAAATAATATTATTGAAGTATTGAGAAATAGGCTTTAATATTTACAGTTAATTACTAAATTCTATCCAGGGGTCCACAGGTATGGACACCCATAAACAAATGATTCAAATATTCACTACTTAATGTGACAATTCAGTGATTTAACTATTAAACAATTCATTTACCATACATGACTGTTTCTCAACATTATTACAAACAATGAACTTTCATAATAAATTCTCTAAACAATTATGAAATTCTTTTTTCTTCCATTCAGTATGCTGAATTGTTATTGCTTTGTATTATTTCTATTTATTATACTCAATTTTCTCTAGTCTTATCCAGTAACAATTCCCAAATTAACATGTTGCTATATTCCCAAGGGATGTTTAGTAACAAAATACCATGCAGTTGACCAAACAAACATCAAATATTGGGCAGACTTTTACAATTTGGTTACCAAATAAATATCATGTAGCCTTGCTGATATCTGGCTGTCAAATCGGATACCAACTCAATCATTTACAAGAAGGAAAAATATGACTGGAGAGAAGTCAGAACAAAAATTAAGTTTTATTTTTTGAAAATAAAAATATACCAACAAAGTATGAAAATAACTTCATTTGACAGAAAGAAAAAGAAATTCGAGAATGTTACAAAGGCTGTTTCTATTCACAAATCAGGAGCACATCTTTCCTCTCCAATGTCTATCAAAGTCCTGTCTCCCTGTAAAAACATGGTTCCACTGATTGGTTAGCAAGAGTCACATGAGTGGCCAAGTCTGGCGCATACTAGCTGGGGAAGAGGAAGGAAAGTTATACCAATACTGATAATGCAACCTAAGTCTACAAACTGGTGACTTGATTTGACATCTATAAATTTGGAACAAAATTTGAAACAAAAAGAAACTTTCTGATAAGGCTCATCCTTACTGGATAATGACATTATATAACATTATACAAATCACAATATAAAAGGATGAAAATATCAAAATTGGTAGTAGAAATAACATTGTTAATATCCTTATTTTGATAGATATTTAAA